CCCCTCTCAACATTGTTGCTAGCTTTCTAAAACACAACCTTAAGTGAAAAGAAATGAACCTCGACCCATACCTCTCATCTTATCCAAAAATTGCCCCAAAATGGATCACAGAACTAAATGCAAAACCTAAACTATACACAAATTTATAAATGAGACACACATAGGCTCAAAATAAAGGGATGGAGGAATATTTACCAAGCAAATGGAAAAAAGAAAAAAAGCAGGGGTTGCAATCCTAGTCTGATAAAACAGACATTGAACCAACAAAGATCAAAAAAGACAAAGCAAGCCACTACATCATGATAAAGGAAGCAATCAATGCAATGGAAAGAGCTAACTATCCTAAATACATATGCATCCAATACAGGAGCACCCAGATTTATAAAGCAAGTTCTTAGAGACATACAAAGAAACTTAGACTCCCACACAATAATAGGAGATTTTAAAACCCAACTGTACTAGACAGATCAATGAGACAGAATATTAACAAGGATATTCAGGACTTTAACTCAGCTCTGGACCAAGCAGACCTAATAGACATCTACAGAACTCTCCACCCCAAATCAACAGAATATACATTCTTCTCAGCACCACATAGCACTTATTCTAAAACTGACCACATAACTGGAAGTAAAACACTCTTCAACAAATCCAAAAGAACAAAAATCATAACGGCCTCTCAGATCACAGTGCAGTCAAACTAGAACTTAGGATTAAGAAATTCACTGAAAACCACACAATTACATGGAAACTAAACAACCTGCTCCTGAGTGACTGCTGGGTAAATAACAAAATAAAGGCAGAAATAAATAAGTTCTTTGAAACTAATAGGAACAAAGACAAAATGTACCACAATCTCTGGGACACAGCCAAAGCAGTGTGTAGAGAGAAATTTATAGCACTAAATGCCAGCAAGAGAAAGCAGAAAAAATCTAAAATTGATACCCTAACATCACAATTTAAAAAATTAGAGAAACAAGAGCAAATAAATTAAAAAGCTAACAGAAGACAAGAAATAACTAAGATCAGAGCAGAACTGAAGGAGACAGAAACACAAAAAAACTTTCAAAAAAATATCAATGAATCCAGGAGCTGGTTTTTTGAAAATATCAACAAAATAGATAGACTACTAGCAAGACTAATAAAGAAGAAAAGAGAGAAGACTCAAACAGACACAATAAAAAATAAAGGGGATATCACCACCAATCCCACAAAAATAAAAACTATCAGAATACAATAGACACCTCTACACAAATAAACTAGAAACTCTAGAACAAATGGATAAATTCCTGGAAACATACACCCTCCCAAGTCTAAACCAGGAAGAAGTCAAATCCCTGAATAGACCAATAACAAGGTCTGAAATTGAGGCAGTAATTAATAGCTTACCAACCAAAAAAGTCTAGGACCAGACGGATTCATTGCTGAACTCTACCAGAGTTACAAAAAGGAGCTGGTACCATTACTTCTGAAACTATTCCAAACAATAGAAAAACTCTTCCATAACTCATGTTATAAGGCCATCATCATCCTGATATCAAAACCTGGCAGAGATAAAACAAAAAAAGAAAATTTCAGGCCAATATCCCTGGTGAACATAGATGCAAAAATCCTCAATAAAATACTGGCAAACCAAATCCAGCAGCACATCAAAAAGCTTATCTTCCATAATCAAGTGGGCTTCATCCCTGGCATGCAAGGCTGGTTCAACATCAGCAAATCAAGAAACACAATCCATCACAAAAACAGAACCAATGGCAAAAACCACATGATTATCTCAACAGATGCAGAAAGACCCTTCAACAAAATCCAACAGCCCTTCATGCTAAAAACTCTCAATAAACCAAGCATTGATGGCACATATCTCAAAATAAGAGCTATTTATGACAAACCCACAGCCAATATCATACTGAATGAGCAAAGGCTGGAAGCATTCCCTTTGAAAGCCAGCACAAGACAAAGATGCCCTGTCTCACCACTCCTATTCAACATAGGATTGGAAGTTCTGGCCAGGGCAATCAGGCAAGAGAAGGAAATAAAGGGTATTTGAATAGAAAGAGAGGAAGTCAAATTGTCTCTGTATGCAGACGATATGATTGTACACTTAGAAAACCCCATTGTCTTAGCCCAAAATCTCCTTCAGCTGATGAGCAACTTCAGCAAAGTCTCAGCAAACTAAATCAATGTGCATAAATCACAGGCATTCCTATATACCAATAATATACAGAGAACCAAATCATGAGTGAACTCCCATTTACAATTGCTACAAAGAGAATTAAATATCTAGGAGTACAAGTTGCAAGGGATGTGAAGGGCCTCTTCAAGGAGAACTACAAACACTGCTCAAGGAAACAGGAGAGGACACAAACAAATGGAAAAACATTTAATGCTCATGAATAGAAGAATCGACATCATGAAAATGTCCATACTGACCAAAGTAATTTATAGATTCAATCCTATCCCCATCAAGCTACCATTGACTTTCTCCACAAAATTAGAAAAAACTACTTTAAATTTCATATGGAACCAAAAAAGAGCCTGCATAGCCAAGACAATCCTAAGCTAAAAGAAAAACACTGGAGGCATCACACTATCTGACTTCAAACTATGCTATAAGGCTACAGTAACCAAAACAGCATGGTACTGGTACCATAACAGATATATAGACCAATGGAACAGAACAGAAGCCTCAGAAATAACGTCACACATCTACAACCTTCTGATCTTTGACAAATCTGACAAAAACAAGCAATGAGGAAATGACTCCCTATTTAATACATGGTGTTGGGAAAAATGGCTAGCCATATGCAGAAAACTGAAACTGGATTCTTTCCTTACACCTTATACAAAAATTAACCCAAGATTAATTAAAGACTTAAATGCAAGACCTAAAACCATAGAAACCCTAGAAGAAAACCTAGGCAATACCATTCAGAACATAGGCATAAGCAAGGACTTCATGACTAAAAGACCAAAAGCAATGGCAACAAAAGCCAAAATTGACAAATGTGATCCAATTAAACTTAAGAGCTTCTGCACAGCAAAAGAAACTACCATCAGAGTGAACAGGCAACCTACAGAATGGGAGAAAATTTTTGCAATCTACCCATCAGAGAAAGGGCTAATATTTAGAATCTACAAATAACAAATTTACAAGAAAGAAACAACCCCATGAAAAAGTGGATGAAGGACAGAAACAGACACTTCTCAAAAGACGACATTTATGCGGTCAGCAAACACATGACAAAAAACTTATCATCATGTGGCACTTATGTACCACAGAACACTACGCAGCCAAAAAAATGATGAGTTCATGCCCTTTGCAGGGACGTGGATGAATCTGGAAACCATCATTCTGAGGAAACTAACAAAGGAATAGAAAAACAAACACCACATATTCTCACTCATAAGTGGGAGTTGAACAATGAGAACACATGGACACAGAGAGGGAAACATCACACACCAGGGCCTGTAAGGGGGTGCGGGGGCTAGGGGAGGGATAGTATTCAGAGAAATACCTAATGTAGATGATGGGTTGATGGGTGCAGCAAATCACCATGGCACGTGTATACCTGTGTTAACAAATCTGCATGTTCTGCATATGCATCTCTGAACCGAAATTATAATATCCTGAAACTTAAAGTA